TGCCGCGAAGACTGCAGACGGTGCAGCTTACAGCTCTTGGAGGTCCTGGTGACCATAGAGGCGCTCTGGGGTGCCACAGGCCTCGGCGACAAGGTGAGGCGGCGCGGGGGACGGAGCTTATGCTGAGGAGGGTGCTCGGCCCTGAGCAGGTGGGACCACCGTCCACAAATCCTGCCGTGGAACCGGAAGCCTTGGGCTTGCCTGGCTCGGCTGACCGGAAGCGTGGAAGGGCGTGTGGGACGGGTTGCTCGTGAGGCAGCCTCGGGGACGCAGGGAATTTCAGATTCCCTCTAACTGCCGCCTGTCGTTGTGTCTCAGGGGTGACAGCTGCAGACAGACGGACACATGTAACCTCGCCTCCGTCTGTGGTAAACACGTAGGTGACTGACCGTCTAGAGAGAAAATAGCATCGTGTTTCCTGTTTAATCACAGGCCAGCTTTGCAGAACTACTTCTGTTCTCTCAGCTCTGGGTCTAGGCTTTAAATGCTCTACTGACGTCCAGTTCCCCTTGGGCTCCAGGGACCTTTTGGGGGGGGTGTCTTCCTCCTACAGCCGTGCACAGATCTCTGGGGCTCACCTATGGAGGAGGCGTGCCGGGGAGGCTCACAGAGCCACAGGCCCCGTGTCCAGGAAGCCCCCCGCCCTCCCCTTCCTTTCTTGGGCATCTGAATTTTGTTTTCTTTCGTTTAAAAACAACCTTTCCACTTTTCCCAAGGGCACATACCTCAGCAGGCGGCTTGTCACCTTAAAGCCACACACACTAGCAAGAGCCGAATCCACGTGCCTGGGACCCATGGGAAGGAAACCGAGCAGCCGCCAGGTTGTAGGCACAGGCTGCTGGGAGGTGGCTGCCAGCCCATCTCCTGTCCCCTGGCCCGCTGTCACCTCTGTCACCACTGTCACCACCGGAAGGCCTGGTCACAGGGTGGCCTCGGGCAAGCATAGTTTATGTCCCTCAGTTCAGTGCCCTGCAGCCCCCAGGTGCCCTTGTTCCTCACAGATCGAGCTCTCCCACCGCAGGGGGCCTGAGGACCCCAGGAGAAGCCTTGTGCAGCCTGGGGGCACAGCAGCTGAATCTCTCATAAATGCAAGTCTATTCTTTGTCGTCCAGATGGCGCCGACCCAGAGTGAACAGTAGCCGTCAGACGGGCCCCTGCAGTCCTAGCCCCCGCGGGCGCTCCAGGGGCTCTGTTGTGTCGCGCGTCCTCCGCGGTGGAGGTGGAGCGCTCGCGGTCGGCCGGGTCGTCCTAGCCCGTCGTGTGACAGAGCGCGCTCTGATGATGACGATTGGTCTTCCCTGGGCTTTTGAGCCTTAGGAGTGGGGTTTCCCCAGCCAGTGACTCGTATTTCCAGGTCCGGGAGACCATGGACGCGCTGGCCACGGCACAGGACATCAACGGACGCCAGGATCTGTACCGAGAGCACGCAGGCCCCCTCGTGGAGTGGCTGGCCGCGTCGCACCACGACTGGACCGTCCACTCAGCAGAGCTTCTGCAGTTCGTCGTGGTGATCAACCACGCAGGTGAGCTCCCAAAACTGTGTAATGTGGCCCTTGAAAGTCTGCCCGGCAGGGGCACCTGGGTGGCTCGGGTCATGATCTCACGGTTTGTGAGTTCGAGCCCCACATCGGGCTCTGTGCTGACAGCTCAGAGCCTGGAGCTGCTTCGGCTTGTGTGTGTCTGTGTGTGTCTCTCTCTCTCTGCCCCTCCCCCCCGAAGTAAACAAAAACGTAAAGAAAAGAAAGTCTGCCAGGCATACGGTGTTTACGTTAAGCCTCGGAGGTGTGCTTATCGTGGCCTTGGGCGCAGTGTGTTCTTTGCACAGTCCACAGTGTCCCTGCAGAGCCTCACGCGTGGCGTGGGCCTCTGTGGTCCAGTGTCTCCAGGCCCTTCCCCGCCAGGCCGCGGGGTGGGTGAAAGAATGTTCCTTAGGCAGAGCTTATGCTCAGACCCGTGCCTTCTCCCTGCCTCGGGACGTCCGTAGAGGTCTCACCGGACAGATTTCATTTTAAAACATGAGTCTTAAAAAAAAAAAAAAGATCTTAGACTCTGAACAGCAGCTCCCTCCCCAGCTTAGAAAACAGCCAGAGGCCGTGTCCCAAGGCTCCAGAACCGAAAACCTGTGCACCCTTGAGGCCGGCCAATCAGGAAGAGGGGACGTGGCCTCGGTGTGCTTTTCCAAGTGCTTTCTCAGAGTGTCGATGGCGTGTTTCTCCGTCCTGTGTCCGGAAGCGTCCTGCTTCACATGCGCTGTGCTCGGGCGGCGTTCACCGCCAGGTGCCCGCTCCCCACGCGGCGCCGTCCCACTGAGAGCACGCCTCTGCGCCCCCGGGTCTGTTCGGTGTCGGCATTCTTCCCGTAGGACGCTCCCGTTTACGTGTCTCGTTACGCCATCAGCCGTGACAGACACCCTGCTGTCTGGAGACTTTGTTTTTATAGAGCGTGTTCAACAGACTGGACTTGTTCAAAATGGCATTTGGTGCCTGGATAGCAATGAGGGGACAGTGATGCACGTGAGCGGAAAGAGTCTTTATAGGAGGGGCCGGAAGATGCTCCCTGAAACCCCTCTCTCCTCTTGCTCGTGCGCTCTGTCTTCCGTGAAAACGCGGCCTTGGGAGATCGGGGTCCCTTCCCGGAAGATCGCTCCCTCCTCCTGCAGTGAGAGGTCCGGGGCTCCATCTTCCGTGTGATCTCCAAGGAAAACAAACCCCAGAGGGTGTGAGCAGACCCGGTGCCCACCGGTGCTGGCAGTGTCCTGCCCCTGGGCCACGTCCTCCTTCTGCCTTTGTTTCTCTTTCTCCCCCAGACCCACACCTGCCCTCAGATTAATGCGCAGCCTTGCGTTTCCGTCTTGCAGCTTTGACGCCGAGTGTGAGACAATGCATCTGGGCCTTGCCGTGGGACGAGCAGGGTGGTTGGGAGAGGGCCTGCCTGGAGGGGAGGGCGCTCCGTGACCCGCGTCCGTGCAACCCGAGCGCGTGTTTGCACCCCAGGGACTCTTTATTCCGATCACGACTCGATGCCCTTCCAGATACTAAGGCTCGTTGCCCGTGTGTGAGGCCCACGGTCCCGGGGAAGCCGCGCAGGCGCCTGTCCAGCAGCAGCTCGGGAAGGGCGGTGGCTGCCGAGTGTAGGGGCAAATATTAAACACTGTACGTGTTCTGAATAATTTATCTTGGTTGATATTTAAAGTGTTGCTTGACTGTAACGTTTTTTTTTTTAAGAATCTGAGAAAACACGAGGAAATAGAAAGTCACCGTGTTGAACGATTAGCACGATTTGGGGGTTAAGTGTTTGCTTTTACAGGGACACCCTCGATCCAGAAAGGAGAGGAAGGTGGTGGACGGGCCGTAACCGCCCCTGTGCCCACGGCCCCTCCCCGGCACCCGGCGCCGACCCGGCGGCGGGGTGGGGGCTGCGTCGTCCCACGAGCAGGAGCCGTGGGAACCGTGAGCTGTGTGTTTTCCAGGCCCGGCGCTGGGAGAAGTGCTCCCCCACCTGGTGCCCGTCCTCAGGAGCTGCCTCCAGCCCGCCCGGGACCCACAGATGCGCCTGCAGCTCTTCTCCTCCCTGTCGCGGGTGCTGCTGAGCGCAAAGCAGACTGTCGACTCCCAGGGGTAGGTGTGCCCGGCCTCCAGCCTCTGCGGGTGCTCTCAGGTGGGAGCTGGGGTCACCCCGGGCTCTGGCGCCGGCCGCGGGAGCGAGCACCCGCCCGGACAGACACGGAGTCCACGTCGTTTCCACGTGGCCATTAAAATTCCATCGAACGAAGAGGTTGTAGGGAACATGAACTGTTAATGGTTTATACGTTAGCTGTTCTCAGTTTTAAATGCCTTTGGTACCTTTGAAACCTAACAGAGAATGGGCTGAATCCCCTTAGTGGCTAAAGCGTGAGGAAAACCCTGTTGCCAGCAAGGACTTAGGGCAGTAAACCCGTGACGGGCCGGCGGCAGACCCTGGCTGGTCGGGCGCCACGTGGGTGCACCTCGCCCCCAGGCCCCCAGCGGCTGGGTGGGCGGTAAGGCGTGTGGGGACCCTGTCCCTTCGGAAGGAGCGCGTCCTGCCATGTCACGAGTGTGCTGGGACCTTTCCCTGGGGCTCCTCCTCTCCCCAGGCTCTGCCGGCCCGTCCGCGGGCAGGGAATCCTGTCTGCTGCTCGTCTGCCCGAGCTTCCAGCCTACAAGGGCCACAAAGAGACGATGTTGGCCCGCAGGCCTCCCGGCAGGGGAGCTTCCCGTGGATAAGCCGCAAGGGCACGGGCCAGCTGGCGCCTCACAGCCTGTGCTCCCCCACGACCTCGTGAGGGGCCTCAACAAGCCCCCGGGCACGGGGAGCCCTGGGGATGCACTGCCAACCCTCTTCTGCCAGAACGTGTTCGCCGGCCGCCCGCGGGTCCCGACCTGAGGCCGAGGTGGCCGAACACGGGCGCTGATCGGCTGCCCTGGGTCCTTGGCCTCACGATGTCCTACTGAAGCGCCAAGTCGGGCTCCTCAGTTTGAGGAGGTGCTGTTTTGGGGACCCTCCATGGACGGGTTGCTCCCTCCACAGAGCGCCCCCAGCGTGGGCCCTTGGTGCCGGCCCCCACCTGTCCTGGGTTTGGTCATTGCTCTTGGTGGTCCCTGCACCCCCAATCCCGTGGCCTCTGCTCCCCGGGGCGTCTGTGGAGACGCGACAGACCTTGCTGGCCACCACCTGGGCTCTGCCCGCTCCTAGAGGTCGACTGGGGACTGGGGGAGGGGCGCCAGCAGCGGTAGGAGGTCTGTCTTCAGACCCCAGCGGGGACCTTGCTTTGCGCAATGGAGCTGCTCCACAAAGTCAGGCCCTGGGCCGCTGCCCGTCTCCCTCGGCAGAGCGGCAGCCTGGCCAGCACGCGGTCCTTGCTTTTCCAGCCACTTCACCTGACGCCTCAGAGGACAGGACCGTTGGGTCTTTCCACAGAGCCCCCTCGTAAATCATTTTGCGGGAAATAGCAGCCCTTTGTGTAAAAACTAAAGCACGTCGAAAACCTAATTGTGTGAGTGTGTGTGTGTGTGTGCGAGCGAGCATGTGTGTGCGTGTGTGTGCAAGTCCAGAACCAGATTTGCCGCGTACCTACATCTCTGGCTCTTGGATGCCCCCTGCTGGAAGCAAGCAGGTGGAGCCTTCCCCAGAAGGGACAGTCCCCGAGTGAGGGTCCAGGCAGCGGAGAGGGACAGAAGCAGAGGCCGGAGGGCAGGGTGCAGGGAGAGCCTCGGTGCCACGCGGCTCTGGCCTCGCCTTGGAGGCTACTACACCTTTTCGG